TATTTATTTATTTATTTATTTATTTTTTGAGACGGAGTTTTGCTCTTGTTACCCAGGCTGGAGTGCAATGGCGCGATCTCGGCTCACCGCAACCTCCGCCTCCTGGGTTCAGGCAATTCTCCTGCCTCAGCCTCCTGAGTAGCTGGGATTACAGGCACGTGCCACCATGCCCAGCTAATGTTTTGTATTTTTAGTAGAGACGGGGTTTCACCATGTTGACCAGGATGGTCTCGATCTCTTGACCTCGTGATCCACCCGCCTCGGCCTCCCAAAGTACTGGGATTACAGGCGTGAGCCACCGCGCCCGGCCGGTTTTGGTATATTTTTAAAAACTCTCGGGCCAGGTGTGGTGGCGCACAGCTCTAATCCCAGCACTTTGGGAGGCCAAGGTGGAGGATCGCTTGAGGTCAGGAGTTTGAGACCAGCCTGGGCAATATAGTAAGACCCTATCTCTACAAAAATAAAAAATTAGCCTGGTGTGGTGGCATGTGTATAGTCCCAGCTACTCAGGAGGCTGAGGCAGCAGGATTGCTTGACCCCAGGAGGTCGAGGTTACAGTAAACTGTGATGATGCTACTGTATTCCACCCTAGGCAACAAAGACAGACCCCGTCTCAAAAATAATAAATACAATAAAAATCCTCAACACTTAGTGTGGTACCTGGCTTGTGATGGGCTCTCAGATGTTTGCTGTTGGGTAAGTAAATGATTTTTTTTTTTTTTTTTTTTAATTTTAGAGACAGGCTCTCACCATGTTGCCCAGGCTGGTCTCGAACTTCTGAGCCCAAGCGATCCTATCACCTCAGCTTCCCAAAGAGCTGGGATTATAGACATGAGTCACCTTGCCCGGCCCCTAAATACATAAACGAATGAACGAATGAATGAAAGAATGCCACATGTTCTGCGGCAGCCCTGCATCTCACACTCACAGAAACCCGTACTCTCATTAAGCTGCATGTACGAACGTTGACCATGCTTCTTTCCCTAATTCAGTTGGGCCTGTAATGGAAGGCATGGAGGTGTGGCTTTCCTCGCCCCAGTATCTGGGCATGCTGGTGGCCCTGTGCAGAGGGACTGGGTCCTGTGTATTCTCCGCCCACTCACGATACCTGGCTGGGACCACGGGTGCTCAGGAAGGAGCTGCTGAACAAGATACAGGAGCACCCGGGACAGCTCCTGGGCTCGTCAGAGGCTGTGCACAGCTCTGAGTGGGTCCAGTTCACAAAGGCAGGTCCCGAGGATGTTAGAGGCTGGGTTTCTTTTGAACAAAAGAACGGCATGACGTGTTTGGAGAGGGTCTGCCTGCAGGTATGCGTGAGGGATGGGAGGGGAGAGAGGACTTTCCTCCGCAGGTAACCAAGGGCAGGAGAGGGTTAACACAGCAGGGGCCTAGGGTGGGGTAAGCCGGAAAGTTGATTGCCGAGGTGGAATCAGTAGGATTTGAAAACAGAGGGACCACGGAGACGACAGCCATTGTCCACTTTGAGCCAGGAGAGATTAGGAGGAGAGGGGCAGGTCATTACAAGGACAAGGTGAACACAGGTTAATTCCGGAGCTGCCTTTACCTGGCTGTCCGAGGGTGTCTACCTGCTGTGACTGCCACCTAGATCGGTAAGGCCCAGGTTGTGGGCACAGCACCCCATGAGAATATTCCAAGTGGGCTGTCCTCACTCATGGGTGCTGGCAATGGGAGGAACTCAAACAGACAGCTGGAGCTTCTTGCAGATAAAGTAAGATTGTTAGAAAATTGGATCTCCAAACTAGAAGGCTGGCTGCCAGCCAATGAAAGGACACTTTTCCTTCAGCTGTTTCGGAAAAAGCCTCGGGGCAGCCCAGTGGGACTGAGTGAGCCAGTGGGGAGGGGCCGGAGTGGGAGGTGGCTGGAACCTGCAGTTCACCCTGGCACTTGGGGAGAGGGGTGTCTTCTGAAGCTCTGAGGTCAAGTGCCACCGTAGCCACAGGCTGCAGGGAGCTGCCACCAAGAGTAGCCCGAAGTATCTGCTGAAATAGGTACTCGGAGGCAGAAGAGGGCGTCTGTGAAGAGACAGAGCCAAGCTTGAGTGATACTCACAAAGGCAGATTGAGGCATATCCACTCCGATATACTTCAGCCTCCCAAGGGGTTGTATCCTAATGCCCTCATTCCTGGTGATGATTTGCATAGATGTGGTGATAGAAATTTTAGAAGCAGGCCAGATGAGGTGGCTCACACTTGTAATCCCAGCACTTTGGGAGGCTGAGGTAGGTGGATCACCTGAGCTCAGGAGTTTGAGACTAACCTAGGCAACATGGTGAAACCCCGTCTCTACTAAAAATACAAAAACTATCTGGGTGTGAGGCCAGACACAGGGCCTTACACCTATAATCTCAGCACCGTGGGAGGCTGAGGTGAGCAGATGACTTGAGGTCAGGAGTTCGAGATCAACCTGGCCAATATGGTGAAACCCCAGGCATGGTAGCAGGTGCCTGTAATCCCAGCTACAGTGGAGGCTGAGGCAGGAGAATCGCTTGAACCTGGGAGGTGGAGATTGCAGTGAGCCAAGGTCATGCCATTGCACTCCAGCCTGGGCAACAAGACTAAAACTCCATCTCAAAAAAAAAAAAAAAGAAAGAAAAGAAGGCTGGATGTGGTGGCTCATGCCTGTGATCCCAGCACTTTGGGAGGCCAAGGCAGGTGGATCGCATGAGGTCAGGAGTTCGATCAGCCTGGCCAATATGGTGAAACCTGTTTCTACTAAAAATATAAAAATTAGCTGGGCCTGGTGGTGGGCACCTGATACCTGGGAGGCTGAGGCAGGAGAATTGCTTGAACGCAGGAGGCAGAGGTTACAGTGAGCCGAGATCCCACCATTGCACTCCAGCCTGGGTGACAGTGCAAGACTCCATCTCAGAAAAAAAAAAAAAAAAAAAAAAAGAAAAGAAAATAGACTTGCTGGCGGCTTTATATTATGGATCTATTATAATTTACTTAACCAATCTCATGTGTTAGCTATTTTGGCTGTTTCTGTGATAGTTTGTTCTTTTATCAAATTAGACAAATTTGTGTCTAATTTGCGTGGCTGACTTGTGGCGTGGACATTCACCGCCTGGGTACTTGTAATCTCTGCACGTGACTAACTTCCTGCCTCCGTCTATTCTGCCTTGAAAGTTTAACGGATTGTGTTGATTCTTCTTCAGTCTTCCCATTTTTCTCACACTGCTTTTTCCAATTTTAATTGAGTAAGAGACAGTTTTGGAGTAGGTGGGACACCATCGTGTGTGTGTGTGTGTGTGTGTACTTATATATATATATATATATTTTTTTTTTTTTTTTTTGAGACAGAGTTTTATTCTGTCCCCAGGCTGGAGTGCAGTGGCACACTCTTGGCTCGCTGCAACCTCCACCTCCTGGGTTCAAGCAGTTCTCCTGCCTCAGCCTCCCGAGTAGCTGGGATTACAGGTACATGCCACCACACCGAGCTAATTTTTGTATTTTTAGTAGAGACGGGGTCTTACCATGTTGGCCAGGATGGTCTCAACTAACATGATCCGCCCGTCGTGGCCTCCCAAAGTGCTGGGATAACAGGTGTGAGCCACTGTGCCCGGCCCTGAAGCCACCTCTTCACCCAGCCCCACCTGCACAAGTGGCAGCTCCAGGCTTTTTACTTGGGAGAACATGGTGTCATTGGCTGTGCTGCCCGTGGCGGAATCTGGGAATGATACTGGACTCTTCCCTTTTCTGACACCCACGTCCAGGGGCATGAATCCTGGTGGTTCTCTGACTGCCCTGTAGCTCACCTGCAGACTCCACAGCTGTGTATACCCCAACGGTGGCTGCCCTCCGACTCCCTCCCTGCAGTCCAGCCCTGCCCCTGGGCAGGTGCCTGCTCTGCAGAGCTGGGATGGCTTTTCCAAATTGTAGGGCCCAATATCCTATTTCTCTGCTTAAAATCTTTCAGTGGGTTATTTCATCTTTTCTGGCACTTTCTTCATCAGGCTTTTCCTCTTCAGCTTTGTAACAACACCCACACCCTGACACACACCCCCCAACCCTCCAGCCACAGCAGGCCCACAGCTGCACAGTCCTGGGCCCGGGCCAGCCACGCTGCTGATGCCAGCCTGCCACTTGTCCCCATCCGTGTGCAGCATCTGAGGTGCCTTCTCTTCCCCAGCACCTCTGGAGACTCGGTTCAGGGGTTCAGATGCCCCCAGCAGTGGGCGCCTGCTTGGCCCTGCTGCGTGCACACAGCTGTGGTCAAGGTTTGCTCTCACGGGCTGCACCAAACTGCAACCTCTCTCTCCCCATTCTTCCCCAGACTGCACTCGAGGATGACAGTTGGACCCATGTCTCAATGGGGTACTCAGTGTCCAGCACCCAGTTTGGTGATAAGTGGAGCTTTCCTTTCTCCCGAAGGGTTCTATGCAAAATATTCAGACATAACGCCAGTGCTCGCGTTTTGTCATGGTTTGTTCTCTCCAGAAAATGAATTGTGATTTGCCCCCGTCTCTCTTATCTAGTGGTAAGCATCCGTGGCATTCAGGACGACGATCCCCCTGACGCCCAGCTCCTGAGACTGGGTGACATGCTGCTGGCCGAGGGCGTGTGCAGGCCTGAGAAGACAGGAAGAGGAGGAGCGGTGGCCGGGGCCGGCACAGCAACACCAGGTGGCTGTCCAAATGACAATAGCATTGAGCACTCTGACTACAGGGCCAGGCTGTCCCAGATACGACAGATTTACCACTCTGAGCTAGAGAAATATGAACAGGTGATCTTTCTCCATGGAAGAGTTTCTATCATGTGAATGCGCGTTCGTCAAAGTGAAACATAGAACGCTAACTACCTTCTTTTCGTGGCACAGAACAGGGAGCCCATGCAGTTGGTCACTGCAGAGGTGGCTGATTTTCTCTGAAAGCCCTTTCCGTTAGCTTAGCAGTCACCCACCAGTGTGTGAGCCACAAGGGGTGGCAGGCAGCCACCCCGCTGTGGAACCTGCTGCCCCGTGCCACCCTGCCGCCTAGTCACAGGCCGGCGTGTCTGTGCTCCCACCGCAGGCCTGCCGTGAGTTCACCACGCACGTCACCAACCTCCTCCAGGAGCAGAGCAAGATGAGGCCCGTCTCCCCAGAGGAGATTGAGCGCATGGTCGGCGCCATCCACGGCAAGTTCGGTGCCATCCAGATGCAATTGAAGCAGAGCACCTGCGAGGCCGTGATGATGCTGCGCTCGCGGCTGCTCGATGCCAGGTCAGGGCCCACAAGCGCCTGAGACCCCGAGGGCCGGCTCTGACGGTGCTGGAGGGAAGCAGTGCTGGCTGAAGCTGAAAACAGCCCCGGAAGCTGTGTCTGCGGTCGCGGGTGGGAGGCCTCACACAGCCTCTTGGGAAGAAGACCCGGAGTATTGATTGCTGTTTTCACTTTTATTTATTTGTATCTTTTTATTTTATTCTTATTTATTTATTTATTTGAGATTGAGTCTCACTCTAGTGCCCAGGCTGGAGTGCAGTGGTGCGATCTCGGCTCACTGCAACCTTTGCCTCCCAGGTTCAAGCAATTCTCCGCAGCCTCCCAAGTAGCTGGGATTACAGCCACCCGCCACCACACCTGGACAATTTTTGTATTTTTAGTGGAGACAGCGTTTCACTATGTTGGCCAGGCTGGTCTCGAACTACTGACCTCAAGTGATTGATTGCTATTTTCAGAACTGCTAGAAAATCACTCAACCGGAGGTAGGGGTGGTCCTGGAGTCCCAGCATTTTAACCAACTGAGGCTGGCTGCTTTTGCAGGCGCAAGCGGCAGAATTTCAGCAAGCAGGCGACGGAAGTGCTGAATGAATATTTTTATTCCCATTTGAGCAACCCTTACCCCAGCGAAGAAGCCAAAGAAGAGCTGGCCAGGAAGGGTGGCATCACCATCTCACAGGTGACTCCCCACGTCTGGGAGGGGTGGATGGTTAAGTCCCATCAGGGATACCCAGGGAAGTTCATTCAATGTGTGCAGAGGCCAGGCATGGGTGCTGAAATCATAGTGCTTTGGGAGGATGAGTCAGGAGGGTCACTTGAAGCCAGGAGTTCGGGACCAGCCCAGGCAACATAGTGAGACACTCTCTCTACAAAAAATAAAAAAAAATTAGCCAGGCTTGGTGGTGTGCACCTGTGGTCTCAGCTCCTTGGGATGCTGAGGTGGGAGGATCACGTGAGCCCAGGAGGTTAAGGCTGCAGTGAGCTATGATGGCACCACTGCACTCCAGCCTGGGGAGGAAGTGAGATGCTGTCTCTGAAAAACAAACGAAGTGTGGAACAGAAGCCAAGTCTCCAGCTCTAGGAATGTGGGTCTCCAGTGCTCTCCCTTCTCATCTGTGAGGTAGAAGTGCAAGTGTACCCGTGGAGAGACATGGGGACAACCTGAGGGATGTGGATGGAAGATGAGGTCCCACAGGTGATGCTGTGGAGCGTGAGCTCCCCAAGGGATACAGGCGGAGTGTGAGCATCCCGAGGGATACAGGTGGAGTGTTAGCATCCCGAGGGATACAGGTGGAGTACGAGCATCCCGAGGGATACAGGTGGAGTGTGAGCTCCCCGAGGGATACAGGTGGAGTGTGAGCTCCCTGAGTTGATTGAGGTGGAGTGTGAGCTCCCTGAGGGATACAGGTGGAGTGTGAGCTCCCTGAGTTGATTGAGGTGGAGTGTGAGCTCCCTGAGGGATGCAGGTGGAGTGTGAGCTCCCTGAGTTGATTGAGGTGGAGTGTGAGCTCCCTGAGGGATACAGGTGGAGTGTGAGCTCCCTGAGTTGATTGAGGTGGAGTGTGAGCTCCCTGAGGGATACAGGTGGAGTGTGAGCTCCCTGACTCTATAGCCTAGTAGGCAGCCACCAGTGTCCTCTGTGGACCTGGGGGTGAAGGAGGGAGGCACTAAGACAAAGAGGCTAAGAAACATTTCCGAAGGTTTTAACGTGGGAGCAAGTCCAGGCAGCCTACAGCAGCGAGCCAGTCCAGGCCATACCCACGGGGCAGCGTGAGTGTGTGGAACAGGGCCTGGGTGCTGCCCTCCTCCCTGGGCAGGCCCAGCCCCACAGCCTCTGTGGCAGCAGTAACGGCAGGTACTGACCTCCACCATGGCTTGCTGCATGTCACCACAGCCCTCCCTGCTTTGCAGCTGGAGGGGCTGAGTTTCTAGCCCTTCGCCATCACACTCTGCCCCAACCCAGGCTACGTCCAGTGGAGTCTCTGTGATAGAGAGCAATCAGAACCCCTCGGGGTCATGCAGGCAGCAAAATATCCTGGGGTCATAGTCACATCTCACTCTGCTCACCGGGATCTGCTGTGGTGTCATCAGAAACAAGGCCAGAGCTGGAACAAGGGCTCGCACCTGTGGGTCTTCAAGGCCCCTGGAGAAGCGTGGGGCATTTGGCCTCCAAGGAACAACTATCTGAAGGACAACCAGGGCCAGGGCCGCTCCACCCAGAATGGAGCCTCTGGGGCCTCCCATGTGGATCAAGAGAAGGCTGCTCATACCCCGGGGGCAGGCAGACATTATTTTAGAAACAGAGCACACAGACAGGGATCTTTCTTTTTGTAGTTACCACTGCAAGGATAATGTAAGTACACCAAAGAAAAAAAATGTTGGCTAGGCACGGTGGCTCATGCCTGTAATCCCAGCACTTTGGGAGGCCGAGGTGGGTGAATCACCTGAGATCAGGAGTTCGAGACCAGCCTGACCAACATGGTGAAACACCATGTCTACTGAAAATACAAAAATTAACCAGGCTTGATGGCGTGTGCCTGTAATCCCAGCTACTGGGGAGGCTGAGGCAGGAGAATCACTTGAACCCGGGAGGTGGAGGTTGCGGTGAGCTGAGCTGAGATTGCACCACTGCATCCAGCCTGGGCCACAGAACCAGACTTCGTCTCAAAAAAAAAAGAAAAAAGTGGCTGGGCGCAGTGGCTCAAGCCTGTAATCCCAGCACTTTGGGAGGCCGAGGCGGGTGGATCACGAGGTCAAGAGATCGAGACCATCCTGGTCAACATGGTGAAACCCCATCTCTACTAAAAATA